GGTATTCGACAGCCTCCAGCTAATTTCAAACAAAGAATTTTTATTTGCCGTGATGTATATATATCTGTGATAATTTTCCTTGTTTTATTGCAAAGCAATGGTTCTCCGAACCTACTTTTGATTTTAGACAAGGGCACTGATTATCGCTAGCCAATTTTTTGACGAAAACCTCATGTAATTGTTGAAGAGTAACATTCGGAAACAATGGTAGTCCCTCACCAGTAAACCAAGATTTTTTTACCCCCCATATCGGCGAATTTTTTTATTAACACACCTAGATCATCTTCTAAGGAACCATGAAATTCTTCAAACTTTCAGAGGTACACCCTCGCATTTTTATCGGCTTCTTCTGCCATCTCTTGATTAGTATAGCCAACAATGCCGATTTTTTCCTGAATTGTCACTATATCGTCTTCTAAGCATAAAAACTAGAAGTATGGCATTCGCAAAACTATAATTTATACCAATGAGGGAATCAAAGTAACGAAGTAATACAACTGAATAAGCACTTCGTTAGTCTTGTTCGCCCATCATATCAATATTAGCAACAATAACAACAACAACATGTATCATCATCATAACCTTCATAACCTTCTTCATTAACATAATCTCAACTGGGAGTTTATCGAAATAATTTTGGTTTTTTTTATAGTCATCAAAAGACTCAAATTTTCATTGTTAATTGTATTAATACGGAAATTCTTCTAAAAGAAGCTCCTCATTTTATAGCTTCAATAAAGACAGAAGTAAAAAATAATTATCTTTAATAAAAACATGAAGAAAATAATTTCATTCATGTCGATTTCTCCACTAATAAGATCACTAATTATATCTTCAAACTAGAGCAAAAGAAGACCCTCTATATCTTCACAAGGGATGTGACAATATTTTAAACTTAGAAAAAATAGAACTATATAAATGGGACGTATATGTAAAGCAAAGCATAACAACACTACATATTCATTATCTTGGCTGACGTTTCAAGATTATTTGCTGAATTTTGTAAAGATCAATGATAAAGTTACCACCAGGAATTGCAGGATGAGAAACCAGTGGAACATATCCAATAGCTGGAATAGGTGGGTCATAAAATACGTCACTTATTGGAATGTTGATCTGATATGCTGGAATGCCTGGAGCATT